TGTGTGTGTGTGTGTGTGTGTGTGTGTGTGTTTGTGTGTGTGTGTGTTTGTGTGTGTTTGTGTTTGTGTGAGTGTGTTTGTGTTTGTGTATATTTGTGTAAGTGTGTGTGTGTGTGTGTGTGTGTGTTTGTGTTTGTGTGAGTGTGTGTGTGTGTGTGTGTGAGTGTGTGTGTGTGTGTGTGTGAGTGTGTGTGTGTGTGTGTGTGAGTGTGTGTGTGTGTGTGTGTGAGTGTGTGTGTGTGTGTGTGTGAGTGTGTGTGTGTGTGTGTGTGTGTGTTTGTGTTTGTGTGTGTGTGTGTGTGTGAGTGTGGGTGTGTGTGTTTTTGTTTGTGTTTGTGTGAGTGTGAGTGTGTTTGTGTGTGCGTGTGTTTGTGTGTGTGTGTGTGTGAGTGTTTGTGTGTGTGTGTGTGTGTGTGTGTGTGTGTGTGGTTTTTTCAATTCAAGTTTATTTGTATAGCAGTTTTCATGATACAAATCGTTGCAAAGCAACTTTACAGCAAATTAAGTTTCTACAATATTTAGTGATAGCTTATCAGTGGTGACTGTCAGTTAATGTACATATGGCAGAAATGTATGGAAAAATCAATTAAAGATGTAATCAAACAGACGATGAACACTATTAACAGTAACAGAAATTATTATTATTGTGTGTGTGTGTGCAGCTATGACACGTTCCCGGTCCTCCAGTCGGATCTATTCGATCGGCCGCAGGATCCGCTGCGGACTCCAGCTAAAGGAAGTGCCCCCAGTAGCCCCGCCCCCCGCCGCACCAAACAGGTACGACGCCAGAGATTGTCTTACTAGAGGGAGATGAGAGGGTCTGTATTACTTACTATTGGAGAAAGCGTAACGGCTAACTTGGATCACGTGTCGTAATAACCAATCACAATACAGCCTTGACGTCATTGAATTTCAGTCAGAGTTGTGTGACACTCACTCGCTGTTTGATACGTAAAGCTGCTTTGACACAATCTGTATTGTTAAAAGCACTATATAAATAAAGGTGACTTGACTTGACTTTAGCCGTTACGCTTTTGTCGGCTAATGGTTGCAGGCTTGCCTTCTAGTGGCTTTGACGACACTCAGGTGAAGGTCAGGTCACAGGGTCAGAGGTCAGTCAGCTGATGCTGTCAGCTGGTGTGTGTGCAGGAGATAAAGCTGGCACAGAAGAAGGCGCAGAAGTACTCGACGGTGCCGGAGATGTGGTCCAAATGCCTGCTGGGTCACTGCTACGGACTCTGGTTCATCTGCTTACCAACATTCGTCAGAGCAGAGAGCACTAAAGTCCGAGTGCTGCACGCTGCATACGAGGTGCTCAAACACATGGAGACACGCAAGGTGGTGCTGCCAGACGAGGTCAGAGACACACACACACTATCACACTCACACTATCACACACACAGACACACACACACACACACACACTATCACACTCACACTATCACACACAGACACACACACACACACACACACACACACTATCACAGACACAGACACACACACACACACACACACAGAGACACACACTCACACTATCACACACACAGACACAAACACACACAGACACGGACACAAACACACACACACACATACACACATGTACACAAACACACACGTACACAGACACACATACACACACGCGCACACACAAACACAGATTTTGAATCGATCTGTATTGTATAATGCACTAGTGATATGATGTAGACACAGTAAGTGTGTTGTAGTTTGTCTCGCTCCTGATGTGTGTGTGTGTGTGTGTCGCAGGTGTGTTACCGTATCCTCATGCAGCTGTGCGGTCAGTACGGTCAGCCGGTTCTCGCGGTCAGAGTTCTGCTGGAGATGAAGCGGGCGGGAATTACACCCAACACCATCACATACGGATACTACAATAAAGTGATGCACTTCATATTAATGAGATCACACAGGGCTTCCCAAACGGGTTCATGAGTTGATGAAAAGCTGATAATTCATTAAATTATAAAAATATACAATTAAAATGAATCATTTTCAAATCTAATCTAAAATCAAAAATTGTGATAAAATGGTTTTAAATTAAAAATGATCAAAAAACATTACACTATTTTTCATATAATAAAAATGTAATATTAAAATAATTTAATAAAAAACAAAACATTTACTAAAATTAATTCAATCATAAAAATTTAAAATTAAAGCAGATAAATAATAATAAAAAAAAAAAAACACTTGCTAAAAATTAAATCATCAAAATTAAAAATTGGAATAAATAATGTAAAAATAAAAGCCACCAAAAATATTTGCTAAAATTTTAATAAGTTATAAAAATATAAAAAATTCAAATTAATTAATCATTTAAAAAACAAGTACTAAATTTTAAATAATAAAAATGTCAAATTAAAATGCATAATTTAAAAATAAAAAACACCAGAAACATTTACTAGAATTAATGAAATCATAAAAATGTAAAATTAGCATAAATAAATAATTATAAAATAAAAACACCCAAAAAAGCATTTACTAAAATTAATTGGATCATAAAAATGCAAATTTAAGATAAATGTTTTTAAAATCAAATCAAAGTAAAACACTTACTAAAAGAGATGAGTTATGTTTAGCTGCATGTCATGTGACCATTAACCAAGAGAAGCATGAACATGTGAATGTGTTGTCAAATTACTGAAACTGGAACTCAAAATCTTAGGGAGTCTTCAAGGAGATGCTTAAGCTCAAAGAGGTTCGGCTGACGGAAGAGTTTGGGAATCCCTGATATATAACGTACAGATGAAAGTCTTGTCTTTACTCATGCGTGTGTGTTTTATTCTGCCGTCTGTAGGCGGTGCTAGAGAGCAAATGGCCATCCACCAATCAGGGAGGGCGTCTTCGCTGGGCGAAGCTGCGTAACGTGGTATTGGCCGTGGCTCAGTTCAGGCAGCCAATCAGACAGCAGCAGAGGAGCGCATCATTCAGCACCCCCGCAGGTCAGAGATGCCCCGCCTCCAGCGCGTGATTGACAGCTGTCAGCAGCGTCACATTCTCACATTCTGCTTCTGTTTTCAGAAGACGCACTGTCCAAGCCCCGCCCCTACTCGGCTCTGATTCGTCAGTCCAGCTGGAGCGGGTTGAGTGAAAGCTCGAGCCATGAATCGCTGATTAGTCTGGCCAAGAGCAACAGTCTGAGCAGCGTTCAGCCGTCAGGAAGCAGTGAGTGACTGATAATTATGGGTGTAACGATGAACCGCGAGCCGGTTGAAAATCGATTCAAATATGTAGCGATTCAAACAAAGATGCCAAACAAATCGCGATAAAATTGGGGTAGGCGTTTATATGAATGTATCTCTGAGGGAACTGACTGTCTTTAGAAAAGTTTACGTGGTATTTTCTTTTCATCTTGCCTCTGAACGATGCATATTAAAGCAATGTTCATGAGCGCAGCTCTGCTTTGTTTACAGCGGTAACCAGGGAAACACCGTATCATTGCTGTTCATAAGCGCAGCTCTGCTTTGTTTACAGCGGTAACCAAGGAAACACCGTATCATTGCTGTTCATGAGCGCAGCTCTGCTTTGTTTACAGCGGTAACCAAGGAAACACTGTATCATTCCTGTGCATAAGTGCAGCGCTGCTTTGTTTACAGCGGTAACCAAGGAAACACCGTATCATTGCTGTTCATAATAAGCGCACCTGCTGGAGAGAGTGAATCTGCGTCTCGTTCAGCTCGTCTGCTGCTTCCTTCAGATATGTTTTATGTGTAGTTTCTAGGGCTGTGAATCTTTGGGTAAATAACGAATCGATTCAAGAGCGATTTTTGCAAATTCAGAACGATTCGATTCTACATTCTTTAAGTGCAATCACAGGATTATTAAAATGCTTCCTCTAAATTCTTTGTATATTTCGTCAGAGGGCAAAACCCCCCCACTTTTGTCAATTGTTAGATGTTAGTTTAATGATGTAATGGCATGACATACGGCATTTACCCTAGTAAAAAAGTAATGCATTTTATTTCAAACTAAGTATAGCTCAAATCTGTTAATACATTCTCTGACATATCGCTTGAGACTTACTGATATAACAATTATAATTAAACTTTATTTGGAGTAGCTACTTGTGCACAATGCACATTTCTTAATATTAAGCCTAAAATGTGTTTTAATGTCACTATTGATGAGGATTGTATGAATTATATCAGTCTTTAAATGCAAGATATTTAAGTGTACCTGCAGTGTACTTGCAATAGTTCCACTTTAGCACAATCAAATGTACTTCAGTATATATTTAGTTGGACTTTAACACTTCCTCACAATTAAAGTGCATACGCATCGTCAGGGTTTGTAATCGATGCATCGTTACACTCCTAGTAGTTTTACAGTCAGACCATTCTGTTTTTGCTTCAAATTTCTAAATTATGCAATCTAAATTAGATTAAAAACTGCATGTATGCTGCATCTTTGTTTGGATCATGATTAGTTGTAGACGTCAGAAACAGTAGCCAACAATACATTGTATGGGTCACAATCATACATTTCTCTTTTATGCCAAAAATCATTAGGATATTAAGTAAAGATCATGTTCCATGAAGATATTTAGTAAATCTCCTACCGTAAATATATCAAAACTTAATGTTTGATTAGTAATATGCATTGCTAAGAACTTCATTTGAACAACTTTAAAGATGATTTTCTCAATATTTAGATTTTTTTGCACCCTCAGATTCCAGATTTTCAAATATTGTCCGATCCTAACAAACCATACATCAATGGAAATCATATGATGTATGAATCTCAATTTCGAAAAATGGACCCTTCTGACTGGTTTTGTGGTCCGGGGTCTGATTTCAGTCTTTGTTTGTTTATCAGAGCTGAAGCTGTTAAAGAAAGCAGCAGCGCAGACGGCCGCAGCCTCGCACAAGCCTCCCGCCGGCCGGCGCGGCACGCTGAGTCCTCCGGCGCCTGTGCTTGTGCGCCGCAGCGACGTCTGCCTGTCCACCTTCTACAGAGACTGCGCAGAGAACGCAGACGCAGACTGCAGGTGTCAGCCGGAGAGAGACAGCAGGTACACAGACTGATAAAACAAGCTTAAATGAGTAAAATCAAGATATTTCCCCTTCAACAACTATCTGATTAAAATAAATTAAATTATTATAAACTAATTGAATCATAAATGTGTGGAATTAAAATAATCAAAACTATTTTTTTAATTTAATTTAATTTTTTAACAAATTAATTAAATCATGCAAATTTATTTTTTATATTTGATGTTCTATTTAATTTTTAACAAACTAGTTTAATCATAAAAATGTAGCATTAAAATAATGAAAACTATTTTTTGCATTTTATTTAATTTTAACAACTTAATTAAATCATAAAAGTGTAAAATTAAAAATAATTGTTTTATTTTCTATTTTTATTTTTTATTTTCTAGCTAATTCTCTCTACCCGATCCAGGGAATCTAATTTTTAACAAATTAAATCATAAAAATGTACAATTGAAAATATTTGTTTAATATTATATTTTTAAATTAATTTAAAAAAAATTATAAAATCAGCGAAATATAAAATTGAAAAAAAAAAAGATAAAACATTGTTTATTAAAACCTGTTTATTAGTGTTTTACTGCTCTTAAACAGTAACTAATCTCATCATTACTCTTCATGGACAGCAGCTTGAGCAAAGGATGTGCAAAAATACTGATTTTCAAAGGTGGGTACCTTCACCGTAATTAGCTCTAATTAGACTGATTTATTATGATGTCCACTAGACCAGCGGCTCTCAGCCAGGATTCCAGGGCCTCAAGATTACTTCAAATCTGTAAAAATAATATAAAACAAGCTGTAAAATAAGTTTAAATAAATAAAAAATCAAGATATTTCTTATTTTAATTCACCACATCTGATTAAAATAAATAATGAAAAAAACAATTAAAAAATGCTAAAAATTAAATCATAAAAAAGTAAAATTTTTTGAAAAACAGATAACTTAAAACAACACAAAAAGTACTAAAATTACATAAATCAATTAAGATAAATAATAATAAATTTTTTTTACAAAAATTAATTAAATATAAATAGATAAATAAATAATTTTAGAATAAAATTACGAGCGACTTTTTTTCTGGAATCCAGAAATTTATTGTACAGAAACTAGGAGTGTCTGTAGATGAAAAATGTAAATAAATAAATATACATAAATGCAATTGCATTAATTGCAACTGATGAAGCAGAAGAAATATTGTTATGGATCATGAGGGGCTGTGGAGAACGCTTGAGAGCCGCTGGATTAATAGACACTGATGATTAGGTGTGTTGAGTTCACAAACAGCTGGAATGGAGAATGAAATTGATTGGTTTTTACTTAGACACTTATTTACTGACAAATATATTTATAAACTCGTTACTTGTTTTGAAATGGAAGCTATTGCATGAATTCAAAAATTCGCTCGTTCCGTGTGATTGTTATTGGTGACAGGTTAACAGGTGATGGTTTTTGTGTGGTTTCGCTCGCGTTCTGCAGGTCGGTGGAAGTGAGGGAGACTCTGAACAGGAAGTCGGTGGATGAAAACTACAACAACGTGTCGTCTCCGAGCCGCGGTCTGGCCGGGAAACTGCAGCAGCTGCTGACGCCCACGAGGAACCGTGCATCGGTGCGCCGAGCCGCTAGCGTAGACGACCGGCGGCCGGGAGCGAACGGACACTCGCGCCAGAAACCCTCGCGCAAGAGCCAGATGACCGAGAGTCTGCTGAAGGCCAAGGAGCGGCTGTACAACGCCACGTCTGAGGTGACTAGAACTACACTCTAAAAAATGCTGGGTTAAATACAACCCAGCGCTGGGTAAAATGTGGACAAACCCAGCGATTGGGTTGTTTTGACCCAGCGGTTGGGTTACTGCACAGAAGGTTGGGTTAAACATTTAACCCAACTGTTGGTTGAAAACAACCCAATCGCTGGGGGTTGTCCATATTTTTCCCAGTGCTGGGTTGTATTTAACCCAGCATTTTTTTAGAGTGTACCCTCTAGATAATGCTGGGTTAAAAACAACCCAATTTGGGTTAATAGGCAACCCAGCGCTGGGTAAAAATTGGACAGAACACATGCTGGGTTATTTTGACCTAGCTGATTGGGTTAAATGTTTTTACCTAGCATGCTGGGTTGTTTTATTTAAGTCAACTATTGTTTAAAAATTACTATTGCTGGCTTAAAATAGGCAGGAAATAAAAAATCACAGACAGAATTACTAATTAATTACTATTAATAAGCAAGAACACCCATAGACAAAAAAACTAATTGAATTTATTTGGGTGAATACAGCATATTACATACATTTAAACCAGTTTAACAAGCATTATAGAAACAAAAACTGTAACATTTAAAAGAAGCATTTTAATTTAAGTGTTCAACCGTTCTCGCTAATCCCTTTTCACTGAAATAGTGCTAATTTTACTCAGCTGCTGGGTTGTTTCATCGGAGACAGGCTCAACCCAGCGGTTGGGTAGAAAAAAATAACCCAGCAACTTAGTTACAGAAAAACTACCCAGCACCTGGGTAAAAATAACCCAATAAAATGGCCCAACAGGCTGAACCAAGCATTTGGGTTAAAACTTTTTAGTGTATATGAGCCTAAAATTCAAGATATCCGCGCAAAAAAAAATCACTCTTATATTTATGCCATATATCTGCATGAGTTTATACAACAGTTCAATAAACAAGTTAATATTGCGTTACATTTTAGTTTTTGCTCAATTTCACAAATGAAAATAGTTCCATTCAAAGTCACAGCTTTGAAACAAACTGATGAGCATCTCTGATCAACACACAGCGGTGATACCTTACTGAATGAATTCATTGTTTTGAATTAATTGAGTGAGTCAGTGATTCACTGACTCGTTCATAAAGCCAGTCACTTGCTTAATATCTGAATGAATCAGTTGAATGAATGATTCAATGACTCACTCATTAAGACAGCGACACACCGCCACCTACTGGAGCTATTAGTTTCATATTGAAAGTATCATTTTATTTTTTTTAAATAATTTTATATTTCAGTATTCATTTCAAAACAAAAACAAAGGGTTACAGTAGTTCACCCAAAAATGAAACTTAGCCCATTATTTACTCACCCTCAAGGCATCCTAGGTGTCTATGACTTTCTTCTTTCAGACGAATCTAATCTGAGTTATATATAAAATTATCCTGGCTCTTCCAAGCTTTGTAATGGCAGTAGATGGGTGTTTTTTTCAACAGTCCAAAAGAAGTCCAATAAAGTGCATCCATAAATAATAAAAAGTGCCTCACACGGCTCCGAGGGGTGAATAAAGGCCTCCTGTAGCAAATCGATGCGTTCCTGTAAGAACAATATCCATATTTAAAACGTAGTAATCACCTTGAAGGTGAGTAAATCATGGGCTAATTTTCATTTTTTGGGGAATTAACCCTTTAATACCTATTTATTATAATTTATTTATGTTATTAATGTTGAATCAATGTCATGCATTTAATTAGATTCCATTTTAATCACTCAACAGCCCTAATAATAATAATTGTGAGTATCTCTATGTCTGTAGAGTTCTCTGTCTGTAGGGAGTGACATTGACATGACGGACATCCAGACGCTGGTGGTTCCTCACAGGAAGTCGTGGGATTCTGCACAGGAAGGGGCGGGCATTGAGGTTTGTGACATCTTTGAGTGACGACACTCAATATTTTTTGGCAATATTATGGACTTGATTGCACAGAATGAAATATTGACTGTTTACTATTGTTACTGTTTTTGCTTACATTATCAACACAGTGTTTTCCTGTTTGAAACTCTAAAGTTGCTTTGACACAATCTGTGTAGTATAAGTAAGGGATAATGCATGGCTAGCTGTGCATTAAACGATTTTAATGCACAACGTGGAGGCCAAGAACCATTTGACGCGAAGCAGAGTGCATTAAAATCATTTAATGCAAGGGTAAAAATGACGGTTATTTTCGTCAGTTACGGCTCGTTAGCTCTAGCATTCTGCCCGCTTCAAACCACATTTAAAATCACATTTATTTGAATCAATTATATCATTTATTTGAATTAATTATGGTAACACTTTATTTCGATAGTCCACTTTAGACATTTTACTCACAGTAAGTAACTTTGCAACTACATGTCAACTAGCAGTCATTAGAGCATTAGTAGACTGTCTGCTTAACATCTTCTAACACTTTATTTTGATGCGTCCACAACATACTGACTTACGAGAAACTTTGCAAGTATATGTCAGCTTATTCTACTAACCCTAAACCTACCCTAACAGTCTACTCCGAGAGTTAGTAGACATGTAGTTGCAAATTAATTAGAATTTGTTGACATGTAGTTACAAAGTTACTTATAGTTAGTAGAATGTCTAAAGTGGACTATCGAAATAAAGTGTAACCTTAATTATTAATTGAGAGAGAGAGAGATGACCATTGTGTGTGCGTTATCTTTGTCTGCGCATCTCGCTCTACAAACAATGAAGCTATGTTACTTCAAAAACAGCGATTTTACACCTCGTTGCTGAGGAATATAATGTAGCAATCTAGTATCTAGGCTATTTTATTAATAAAAGTCACTGGGACGCGTTTACAAGTTTGTGTGTGTGCGCAGTGCAATCTGCGATCTCCGACTCTCTCTCTCTCTCTCTCTTTGTGTGTGTGTCAAGTCAAGTCACCGTTATTTATATAGCACTTTTAACAATACAGATTGTGTCCAAACAGCTTTACAGTATCAAATAGGAAGACAGTGTGTCAGTAATGCAGAAGGACAATAGTAAACACTATTGCGGAGACCTGGGCAACTAGATGAGCCCCTAATTATCCGAGAATTGGGACGCGTTTACAAGTTTGTGTGTGTGCGCAGTGCAATCTGCGATCTCCGACTCTCTCTCTCTCTCTCTCTCTCTCTCTCTCTTTGTGTGTGTGTCAAGTCAAGTCACCATTATTTATATAGCACTTTTAACAATACAGATTGTGTCCAAACAGCTTTACAGTATCAAATAGGAAGACAGTGTGTCAGTAATGCAGAAGAACAATAGTAAACACTATTGCGGAGACCTGGGCAACTAGATGAGCCCCTAATTATCCGAGAAAAGTAATGGTCCTAGTACTGAGCCTTGAGGTACTCCATACTGCACTTGTGATCGATATGATACCTCTTCATTCACTGCTATGAATTGATGGCGGTCAGATAAGTACGATTTGAACCATGCTAACTAACTAGTTTTCTAGTCTATTCAAAAGAATGTTGTGTGTTGTGTGAGTGATGTGTGTGGGTTTGTGTGCATCAATTAAAGCAGCGCATTAATATAAAACGGTGATTAAACTGACTTGGAACTACCTGTGCATTTAATGAGTTTTAATGCATACCTGCCAGCCAATCAGAATACAGTATTCAGGCAGACCATGGAATAAAGCGCTATAGCAGTGGTTCTCAACCCCGCGGCCCATGGCCCGTCACGAATTCAAATGCGACCCACCATGCTGAACACAATTTAAAAAATAACTTTCAGTTTTACAGCTCATTTGAGTTTTTACATTAATTTAAAAATGTACTAAAGAAATATAAGCTATAATGTTTTTATGTAAAATAATTTAGTTTTTCATATTGGCTATTATTTTCAGACATGAGCAGACCTACTCACATAATTAACGTTATGCATTTAACGAACACTTACAAGCGCGCACGTTGGCAGATTTCAATTCAAATAGTCATCGGCAGCCATTAGTTCAGTAAAATTGAGCATCAGAATAATGTACTAAAGAAATATAAGCTATAATGTTTTTATGTAAAATAATTTTGTTTTCCATATATTATTTTCAGACAAGAGCAGACCTACTCACATAATTAACGTTATGCATTTAACGAACACTTACAAGTGCGCACGTTGGCAGATTTCAATTCAAATAGTCATCGGCAGCCATTAGTTCAGTAAAATTGAGCATCAGAATGGACAAATTTGTTTTTAAGGGAGAAAAACGAAATGTGGAAAATGCCAACGAAGGAACACATACAAACAAGAGTAGTCGCAGTATCAGTGAAGGTAGGAGAGTGCTGGACTTTCGGTTTGCCCCGACACTCACTTAAGGATGTTCAGGCAAAAGGAAACACCCATACTATGCAGCAATCATCCTTAATAATATGGCAAAACATCTCTGGAGAGACCCTCAGATTATTAAATTCAAAAGTGCTTTTCATATTGGATCAACATGGGCTACATTTGTGAACGCACATTTTCTGCAATCCAGTCACGCTTCCGTGCGTCTTACAGACCGCAACTTACAATCGCAACTTCATTGTGCTGTTACTACTTTCGAGCCGAATTTCACAAAATTGGTCAGCTCCCAACAGCATCAGGTGTTTTATTAATGAGGAGTAGAATTATTTATTTCAATGAATGTAATCGATTAGATATCATAATATTTAGGGTGTAATATTATCAGTTTGGTTTGTGTTGGTGACGTAATATGTAAATGATATGTGTGCGGCCCGTGAGACTTGCACTTGGACCATAGTGCGGCCCGGTGGGGAAAAAGGTTGAGAACCACTGCGCTATAGATATAAAGGGGAAACAGACTGAATGAGAGCAGAATCCGTCTCTGTGAGTGTGTTTGTTTATCTCTGTGTCTGCGTGTGTGCGCAGGTGCTGATGTCGAGCTGCTCGCTGTGCCGCAGCTGTAATTCTCTGGTGTATGATGAGGAGATCATGGCCGGCTGGTCGTCTGATGACTCTAATCTCAACACCACCTGTCCGTTCTGCTCCGCGCCGTTCGTGCCGCTGCTAAACGCAGAGATCTGTGACCTGGGGCCCGTCTGCAGGTAACGCAGAACTGCTAGAACTAACACCAGATTTAACATTTGAAATTACACTTATTTTAAAAAAGCAGCATTTCTCATTTTCATTTAATTTACAGTTTTGTTCAACCGCTTGCACACAAAATCTTTCCTTGTCACACAGTTTCTGAAAGCTGACACTCAGACAGCAGAAGCACACACTAAATCTACAAAACCAGACACTGATCTCAGCCTTTGACTCGGTTTTCAATTTCAGAAAACACTTTTTGCAAAAAGCAACACACGATTCTCTATGTAACTCACAAAAATCTAACAGGAATTAATATTATGGCAAAAGTGTTTGCAAATGTGCTTTTGAGATGCGTATGTGATATTTTGAATGCAGTGCTTCATTTTGCAAGAGATGCGAGGCTTTTTGCATTTTGTGTGCAGTTCTTGGATTTGTGTGTGAAGTTTTGAAAAAAAGAGACAAAGTTTTGAAAATGTGTGTAAGCAGTTGAAAAAAAACTGTGATCAAATTTTGTACTAAAATAACTAAAACTGAAATCTAAATTTATTTAAAACACTATATAGACATATTTAAAAAATACAATTATTTTGAAACATTATTTATTAAAGAAAATATATATTGTTTTATTTAAAGTGTAGATTATAATAATTTCTTCCACATTTTAATTGTTTTAAAAATTAAAAAATAAGTGTGTGTCTGTCTGTGTGTGTGTGTGTGTGTCTGTCTCTCTGTGTGTGTGTGTGTGTGTCTCTCTGTGTGTGTGTGTGTGTGTGTCTCTGTGTGTGTGTGTGTCTGTCTCTGTGTGTTGTGTCTCTCTGTGTGTGTGTGTGTGTGTGTCTCTGTGTGTGTGTGTGTCTGTCTCTGTGTGTTTCTGTGTGTGTGTGTATCTGTGTGAGTGTGTGTGTGTGTCTCTGTGTGTGTGTGTGTGTGTGTGTGTGTGTGCAGCGTGGAGCGCAGTAACCTGAGTGCGGAGGATGATCTGGAGAATATCATGCGTCCTCCCTCCGCTCCGGACGACACACTGCAGCACCTGTGCAACGGCGTCAGAGAGACGGACTCCAGCTCTGAGACCAGCAGCCAATCAGTGAGCAGCGTACCGTCGGTGGGCGGAGCCCCGCAGGTGACGGTGGCGTACCTGAGCCCGCTGGTGCTGCGCAAGGAGATGGAGAGTCTGCTGGAGAACGAGGGTGAGGCTGTTCTCTCTCAGGTCCAGCTGCTGGACAGTCACTCCATCCTCTTCTGGAATCTGGTGTGGTACTTCACTCGCCTCGGCCTGCCCAGTAACCTGCTGCAGCTGCTGCGGACGTCTCCGCTGACCGCACGCCTCACACAGGTCTCTCACACACACACACACACACACACACACACACACACGCACACACACACACACACTCTCTCTCTCTCTCTCTCTCTCTCTCTCTCTCTCTCTCTCTCTCTCTCTCTCTCTCTCTCTCTCTCTCTCTCTCTCTCTCTCTCTCTCTCTCTCTCTCTCTCTCTCTCTCTCTCTCTCTCTCTCTCTCTCTCTCTCTCTCTCTCTCTCTCTCTCTCTCTCTCTCTCTCTCTCTCTCTCTCTCTCTCTCTCTCTCTCTCTCTCTCTCTCACACACACTCTCACTCTCTCACACACTCACTCACTCACACAGACACACACCCACACACACACACACACACACACACACACAGAGAGAGGAGCTCAGCTGACTGTGTTTGTGTGTCAGGGGTCAGAGGGCACGGCGGTGCGTGTGAGGCTGCTGTGGGACACACTGACCCCGGATACGGAGCAGTGGCCGCCGCTCTACATGCTCTGGAAGATTCACAGTAAGACACACACACACACAGGGCCTAGTTTTTTTTTTGTGTGGAAGGTAATGCATTACGTTACTTTGGTGTTACTTTTTGTCACCTGGTCTGGCCTTACTTATTTATTTTTTAATAACATAAACCCAAAAAGTTAGATTTTTAGCAACTGTAAAGGCCCTTTCCGATTTCTCTCAGCATGAGGACAGGAGAGCTGTCAGTCAATACACGGGAAAACAAAGTAACTGGCATTAATTATTTGAAAAAGTAACTCCGGTATTTTCTAGTAAATTTAAAAGTAATGTGTTACTTTACTAGTTACTTGAAAAAAGTAATCTGATTATGTAACTTTGCGTTACTAGTAATGTGTTATCCCAACACTCTCTCTCTCTCTCTTTATCTTTCTCTATTTATATCATTGAGAAATTTTATTTGAATATATCATTGCATAAAATTTATAACAATTTATAATCTGAGAATGAATTTTTAACTCATGATTGCTCAAAAACAGTCCAGATTTATGAAACCTACATAATTATTTCTATCAAAACAAAATAAACAGTACTCTAAAAATGTTTTCAACAAAAATAAATAAATTTCACTTATATAAAGTAATCTGTATTTCATGCTCCAAGGGTTCTTCAATAGATGTACATATTCATGTTCATCAACAAAATTCAGTCCAAAAGTGTGTGAGAGATGGGGAAAAGGCTGCATATATTTCATTTTTTGACACTAATATAATTTCATAGATCATTTTACAAAAATTACCTACATACCCAGGTCAAAATAACCCAAACACAAAGCCTGTTACATGTTTTTAAATGTTTATGTATCTTTAAAAAAAATGTGTATTTGATGTGTATTTTGAGGCTCTTAAAGCATTCGCAAAGATTTGCTCCGTTACTAAAAACTGCATTTTTTAGAATTTTTAAAATGTATCTATTCCGGGTCAAAACAGACATGATGAATGAGGGTAACACTCGGCAAGTGCCAAATGCAAGTAAAAATCAGCACTGGCGAGTATATGTAACCTATTATGGGTTATGAAAGGTTCATATTTTGGTTTTGGGAGTCCCTAACAACAGGTTGACATGCATGCAAGGTCAAAAAACACTTTCACTGTCTTATAATATGCATTTATTTTTACCTTATTTGCTCAACGACTCCCAAACGGTTCGGTCAACAATTCATTTTTCCAAACCCCTCCTTTGCGTGACGCTAATCTGCGGTGATTGGTCCGATTGGTCTCATTTTAATTTCATCACGCCTGTGATGCCTGATAAAGCAGTGTTTGTGAGCGCAGTGCTGCTTTGTGTACAGCGTTACCGGGGAAACAGCTATTTTTACTGCTCCAAAAGCGACACCTAGTGGCAAAGAATGAATGTGCATTTTCATTCAGACCAATGCGAAAATCGACTGATGGTTTTCCGCAGCAAACACGCAGAGACGTAAATGTGAACCGGTATATATATCCCACGGGTTTCAAGTTGTCCCGGGTCTGCGCTTGCAACAAGTGGGCGGGCAATATGCTAATTTTTCATGTTGATGGTAACATGAAACGGCTTGAGATTCGTTTTAAAAATGACTCGTTTCAATGATTCAGAGGCGACTCTTTTTTTGAGAGACAATAACTTTATACATGCTGCACTTTCAGATTTAAAACTTTGCAGGATGTTTTCATTCACTTAGAGCTGTGTTACACACTGCATGACAGGTCATTTTCAAAAACCCATAATAGGGGCACTTTAATAATCTGCTGATTCCCGTTGTTGATTGATGTGATTCCCCTCCCGTCCTGCAGGTGGCGTCCCCATGCGCAGCCACAGCTGGCGGCATCACAACCATCCCTTCAACCTCAGCTTCCTGGAGGAAGTGCTGCGCTGTATCGGCATGAACGAGGTACACAAGGCCATCACGCTCTTCCTGGATACGGTTGCTAAGCAGCCCGGCACTCCGCGGATACAGAGGTGAGGCGTGGTGATGCTCAGGTGATGCTCAGGTGAGTCTGAACGCGACTCTGACGTGTGTTTGTGTGGATCTGCAGGAGTCTGTACAGAGAGATGCTCTTCCTCACGCTGGCCGCCATGGGCAAAGATCACGTCGGTGAGTCGCGCAAAACCAGCAAACACCAATAAACAACAGCATTTATTTATTATTTTTTTTAAAGAAAACTTAAAGCAATGGTTCAACAAAAAAAATCGACATTTGCTGGGTTTTTTTGTTGCTTTTTTTACTCTCAGGCCATCAAAGATGTACAGTAAAGACGATTTTTAGCTGAAACCATGATCCTTGGCGATTCATAAAATGCAAGTCAATGGCTACCGGCACTTTGAGAGACAAAAGCGCATATACAGGCAATACAAAATAAAAAATATATTAAGTATATTAAGATCTTGTGAAGCGAAACGGTCAGTCTGTGCAAGAAACGGAACATTATTTATAGCATTACTACCTGTAATTCAGAGCCTCAGACAAACAGGAAAATATTAGATGATTAGATTAGTTTAGATTGAACTTTATTGTTATTGTGCAGAGTACACATACAAAGCCAATGAATTGCAGTTTGCATCTAACCTGAAGTGCAAATAGGAATGTATATAAATAAATAAATATATATATATATTTGTGTGTGTGTGTGTGTGTGTGTACTATACATATATATATATATATATATATCATTGTACAGAGTGCAAGTGATGAGGTAGAGAAACAGAGACCAGCTCAATACAAATTACTGTAAATATAACAGAAGGTGCATTATACATAGTGAGGTAAATCAATAGTGTATATTTCTGTATGGCCAGTGACCATAACAGTGCAAATGGCATTAGGAGGTAATGTGCAAAGGAATTAGCAAAATATCAGGAGGCATAATAATAAACATTGTAAGTGTGCATAGAAGACAGGATATTGTACAGAGCATTTTTTTTACACATTAGGTGGTCCATCTAGGATGTTCAGCGTCTGAGATTAGAGTTCAGTAGGCTGACAGCTGAGGGAAAGAAACTGTTCCTGAGTCTGCTGGTGGGGGGACAGGTGAGCTTCCCTTAGTTTCCTAAGGAAGTAAAAGCACTCTTGCGCCTTTTTGTTCAGTGTGGAGGTGTTGAGGGTCCAGGAAAGATCCTCAGAGAGATGGACCCCAAGGAACTTGAAGCTAGCCACATGCTCCACTTAAGCTCTATCAATGTAGATGGGAGTGTGTGCATGGCTCTTCCTGGTTCACCGGTGATTTACAATCAGCTCTTTGGTCTTCTGGGTGTTGAGTGCAAGGTTGTTGTTGGCACACCACGCTGCTAAACGCTGAACCACCGTGGTGTCATCTGCAAACTTGATTATGGAGTTAGAACCATGCACAGGTATGCAGTCGTGAGTGAAAAGAGAGAAGAGGATTGGGCTCAGCACAGAGCCCTGTGGTACACCAGTGTTTAAAGTGAGGATGGAGGAAGTGGGGTTACTGATTCTAATAGACTGTGGTCTGTTGGTGAGAAGGTCCAGTTACAGAGGGAGGGGCTGATGCCAAGATCAATAAGCTTGGAGATCAGTTTGGATGGGATACAGTATTGAGAGGTTGAAAATGTTTGTGAAGACCTCAGCCAGCTGATCTGCAAAGGCTCTAAGCACTCGGCCAGGGATTCTTTCAAACAGTTTGTTTCACTGAACTGGTTCAATTCACTGGTTTATTTACGCAATCATCCAATGATGTAATGTATATATAATTATATTATTAAATCACCCAATAATGATGTGAAGTGTGGATGTTGAACCGCTTGCCCGAGGCTCTAAATTACAGGTAATGTTGTAAATAATGTTCAGTTTCTTGCACAGACTGAAGGTTTTGCTTCATACGACCTCAATATATCATCAGGAGCCACGGGGATTCATTTTGTGTTGTCTGATATGCTTTTTTGACTCTAAAAGTGACGGTAGCCATTGACTTGCATTTTATGAATTTACCAAGGACATGGTTTCAGCTAAAAATCTAATTTAATGAATTTTAAAAAAAGTCACCTACATCTTGCATGGCCTGAGAGTGAGTAAATTAACAGCGAATGTTGATTATTGGGTGAACTATGACTTTAACTGTAAAGATATTTATATTTTAATATGTTGTGTGTCTGCAGCTTCGTTTGATAAGCGTTATAAGGCAGCGTACCTGCGCTTGAGCAGTTCTCTGGGCCGAGAGGAGCTGAAGAGGAAGAGAGTCCAGCCGCCCAGTCCTAAAGCCGTCGACTGCAGACGCTGCTTCCTGCTGCCGCTGGAGTGCTGATCACACACACACACACACACTCCGCTCGTCTCGTCTTTCCGTCGTCTTCACGCTGCTTGAGGAGGAACCGCGACACACAGTCTGAACACTTCTGCTGGTACGCTCACTGCAGACGCCGCTGTGCATTATGGGAGCGCGTCACCCTTTCACCAAAAACTGCTTCTGTATCCCACAATGCCGAGCAAACTGACACCCAGCCGCCCCTCGGAAGATTTCATAGGATCTGATGTGGCGTTTGAACTTACCTCGTTGATTTCTGTTGGTTTGATGTCATGGAACTCAAAGATGAAGATCCGGTTGTAAACGCCGGAAGGCATCATGGGAGTTTGTTGAGATGATTCTGCACTGGAGTGACGCTCTGAGCTGCTTCATGTTTGTGTGAGATGTTTCCTGACCAGCAGATCCATCGTCTCCATTCTGGACAGAAGAGTTACTCGGTAAACTAGTCTGGTCAGGACTAGTTAGTTCCTCTGAACCGTGTTTGTGTGTGAGAGAGAGAAAGCAGCGCTGCTGTTGATCTACAAACACATTTTATCAGTCGTTTTAAAGGGTGTCCTGTGATGCGGTGTGACTGTAGGAGGATCCTGCGACGCTCTGGGTCACCCACAAACCAGCTGGTTTTAGCATTGAGCCGTAATTCACACAACCGTCAGACACATTCACCTCCAAACTCTCACTGGTGTGAAGAGCAGATCATTCTCTCGTTCAGACCCGTGTGACTGTCTGCAGTCAAACACACAAGAAGAGATTCTGAGAAATGAACCAGTGTTTTCTGTTCAGCGGGATCCGGTGTTGTTTGGCTCCCAACATTCTTCAAAATACAGTTACATTTATTCATTTTCAGAACATTAGAAGACACGAGGAGCGTAAATGATGACCGAATGATGATGTTTGGCTGAACTGTCTCATTAAATGCACACATCATGGTTGAATTTATAGATTTTATTTATGATGTTTTCAGTCATGTCTGATGATAGTTTTTTTTTTTATTTAATTTTGTTTTTTTCTATATACAGTAGGATATTTTCTATATATCAGGATATAATGCAAAATTTAAAAAGGAACTAGATACATTAAATCCAGCTGACTTTCTGTACATTTCACAACTGATGTTTATTACCAACAGAACTAAAACAAAGTCACAGTTGCAAGTTTCATTTACAACAATAATTTGAGATGACACCAATTATAATTTTTGTTATTGTTTTACAATTGTGTGTATGTGTGTTTCATTAAGGAGTATTTTGGAGATAAATGTGTTTTTTTTTTATTATGGTAAAAAATCTAGAAACTCTTGACAGTAAGATTTCATTTGTTAATGCATTAGTTAAAATGAACTATTAATAAGCAATATATACATTTACAGCATTTTTTAATCTTTGTTAATGTTGGTTAATAAAAATGCAATTTTTAAAATGCATTGTTTGTTCATGTTAGCAGTGCATTAACTAATGTTAAATACTTTTGATTTTAATAATATATTAGTAAATGTTCACATTTCCATTATATAAGATGAATAAATGCTGTAGAAGTGTTTTTCAGTGTTAGTTCATGTTAACTGATGAATGAATGTTAACAAATGAAAGCTTACTGTAAAGTGTCACCAATAATCTTAGTAAAGAAAAACTTGTTTTCTCTAATGAAACATGTGGTTGTGTTGGTATTGTGAAGTGTGATCAGCTGCGATTCATCCGCTCTTGTTCTGTTGTGTCGGGAAGCGTTTGCTCTTCTGAGCCGTGTTTGAGTTTTTGTGTTCATCTGTGAGTTTCTTCTCCTGGAGTGAAACGGCTGTGATCTGTGTTTAAAATCACCGTTACAGAGGAAACGCTCGTGACTGTAGGACCTACGCCACATTCATTAGTCTTAATTTTATTAAGGAGGAATATGAAGCTGCTAGAAGTGTTTTAGTGGCATAAGAGGAAGTGATGTCAGAGGAAGCCGAGCTTCACTGCAGCATGTGAACGTCTGCATTTATCAAGACAACAGAGATTATAAAGATATATTTAAGTTTTCATGTGTTTGCTGTGCTAATTTATATTGATGTGACCTCTGACCTTTGTTGTGAATGTTGTTTTGTTTTTCTTTAAGAAAAGAGTTTTAAGAACCAACATTCTGTGTGTTTCTTCAGAGCACTGCCATGTAAATTTGTTATGATTAGCACGAGACCTTTGATTATACATACATACATACTTGCATATATATTTATAATATATACAGTGGGTACGGAAAGTATTCAGACCCCCTTAATATGTATGTATATTTGTGTGAAAAGATGTCAATTATTGCATATATAAAATTAGAAAAATTGTAGGAAAAATAAAACTAAATAATCAAAGAATATAATTAGCACAAGTATAAGGAAAACAGAAACATTTAATATGTGTGTGTACAGTATATATATATATATATATACAGTTGCAAGAAAAAGTTAACTATTTTCAATTTTCCAGTTATCTGCATAAATTAGTCATGAAATTTGATTTGATTTTCACCAAAGTCACAAATATCAACAAACACAATATTTCTAAGCTGATAAACAATCATCATATTTCATGTATTTATTGAGCACACTCATTAAACATACAAAGTGATGGTGAAAAAAGTAAGAGAAACGCTGGGCTTCTGGTGTTCTGGAGATGTTAGCAAACCAGGAGATCCAATCGATGAAAGGGGAATAAAGGTGTGGTTTAGAGCTTATATAAACACATACACAATGTTAGTGTGCTATTCACAAGCAGCATTAGCTGATGTGAGCCATGCCTCACAAAAAAAGAGATGGTGCATGTTGACATGCATGTAGCTGGAAAGGGTTACAGAGTAACCTCAAAGACTTTAGGTATTCATCAGTCCACAGTTAGACAAATTGTCTATAAATGGAGTCGATTTGGTACTGTGGCTACTTTCCATAGAAGTGGGCCAGCCAAGATCTCGTCAAAGGCTCAAAGAGGTGAAAACCCCCCCCCCCCTAGAGTAACAGCTAAAGACTTGAAGGATTCATTAAACTGGTAAACATCTCTGTTCATGAGTCAACCATGCGTAAAACATTGAACAGGCATGGTATCCATGGAAGGACACCTGAAGGAAGCCACTGCTCTCCAAACAAAACATTGCAGCATGCCAAAATTTGCCAAAGACCATCTTGACACTCCAAAACTCTACTGAGAAAATGCCTTGTGGGCAAATAGAAGTATTTGGGAATAACTGGAGTCAAGGAGCTCCTATCTACAGTGTCTACCCTACTTCGGATGTGCCGACATCATGAATCATCTTGGCTAGATTGCGGAGATGTGGCAGAGGAATACAGTTCAACAACCTAAAGCATGTGGGTACACTAACATCAGTACTGGCCAGTACTCAACATGACACTTTTGATTGTACTGTAGCGACTCTAGCATGAGCCCTTTCTATGAACTTTTACCTATGTACTGCAACTTTTTTTAACACCCCGAGAACTGCTGGTCAATTTTTAAAAACAAGTGGAAATGCTGATTAATCTCTGCTGAGAGTTCCCAGAGTTTTGAGGTCCAATCATTTTTAATTGCTTTGCCAAGTTCTGTATTATGTGTTCTTGTATATAGACCTCCCAAACATACCGATTTTATACACGAGTTTTCGGATTTTTTGTCTGTGTTTGTATCTTCTTTTCACAACATTGTACTTCTTGGTGATTTTAACATTCATGTTTGCTGTCCATCGAAGCCTTTAGCCAGAGAGTTTTTAAATATTGACTTTTTTCACAGTATATAACTTGCTCTACTCATCAGCATGGTCACACTCTTGATCTGGTTCTTTATATGGGTATGCCTGTGTGTGGTATGCCTGTGTGTAATATGCATATCTTAGATCATAATTTTTGTGACCATAACCCTATTGTTTTTAATATTACCCTTTTATGTAGTCCCCCGAAACAAAAACCTACTGCTTATTATGCTCGTGCTATTACATCTAATACAGTCAGTGATTTTTCATTGATTGATTGACACTGTTGAATCTCCATCTATCTTAATGGGTCCAGAAGAATTGGTTAATCTGTTTAATAATGCTTATTCCGATTAGAGCCCTGCATTTCAGCCTGGGCCCAACGGGCCCCGACTTTTTTACGCCCATCGGGCCGGGCTTCAGGCCAATTTTCACGTCATAGTTCAGACGCGGGCCGGCCCTCTGGCCTGTTTTAGGCTACTTCTTATTTTTATATTTGAGACATCCATCAATTAGCTATGAAAAAAATGGCCACGCTGGTGGAAAAAACACAAGACCGTGCTGCCGCGACTGTCAAGAGCGGCTCGATGGGGTTTAGTGTCCCACCAGCAACAGCATGTATGGTGCGTGCCGTCAGCGCAGCTGAACAGTTTTGCTTTCAAATGCACGCAATACACTTAAGCTTGCCGCAAAGCATCGGCAAAAGTAATTACCGTAAATGTGTCAGGGGGAAATAGTAATGAGATATTTGAATTATTTACTAATAAATAGTGTTTTCTGAGTCTGTGTCGCAAGGATGAAGTTGCCGATCCTGACTCGCCATCTCCTCATTAGATGCGGCTTTAGAGAGAAGTGCATCTTTACCCAGATAGCACACATACGTCTGCAAGATGCCTGCTAAAGATCGCTTGATCTGGAAAGCATCTGCTGTGTACAAACATCTGACAGACGTCTGTAAGATGTCAGTTTTACATGCATTCTAAATCATAAACATCTTAAAGACATCTAATAGATGTCTATTTGACATCTGGATTTAAAAACAGACAATGTTGAGGCAGTACTGATGTGAAAGGGGAGAATATTCCAAAGTTTTGGGCCAACAACAAAAAAAGCAAGGTCACCTCTCGTTTTTAGCCTTGTCCTAGGAACATGCAGCAAGTCAGAATTAGTAGATCTGAGCGATCTCGACAAAGTATGAGGCTGTAACAACTCGGTTAAGTACAGTGGGGCCAGATTGTGAAGAGATTTAAAAACAAACAGTAGAATTTTTAAATGAATTCTGTACTTTACTGGAAGCCAATGAAGTGAGATTAAAACCGGTGTAATAGTCTCATATTTGCACTTTCCAGTGTTTAGTGTCCCACCAGCAACA